GCAGAGGTACGTAGCGCGGGAAGCGCGGAGGTGCGCGCGCGCGCTCCGATTTTCCGAACGTTCTGACCGCCATACATCTGGACAATCGCGCGCCAGTTGTCTCTCGCCTCCATCCCGACAATCACGCCATGGTCGGCCCCCGACGCGCGATGTTCGGATCTGTCTGGACACGTATAACGCGTGAAATATAAAGAACGTGCTCTCGTCCGCCCGCACTCCTCCTTTCTCCCAGCAGCAGCCTGGGTCCACACACTGTTCACACACTTTTGGCCCTACCAACCTTTCTGTCCTGGTCATGTCTGAGCAGATGCTTTTGAGTATCACCAATGGGGTGGAAAAGGTCCTGAAGGAACCCCCTACGTCTTCTTGCCCGCAAGTGTTGGCATCATATCTGCACAACCTTGTAGAATTAAAAGTGCGTGTGTATATATCGAACCCTCAAACTCAATGTTCAGTCGTAATTCACCAGACCTATGCTATGAAAGAGCGTGACTGGGTTAGCGGTACGCTCCTGGAACGCCTGGAGCGCGTTCATCGCGAATATGCCGTCTTTATGCCTCTACTTGCCTACGCAGGCGTTGGCGATCTTAGCGCATCCCACCCGGCTCCGCCCTTCACCCAGCTACCTCTTACGCCTTCCACCGTCTACCAAGGACTAGTCCCGGTCCAACTACATGGCCAGGACGCTGTCGTGGTCATGCCCACCGCACCGGATTCCACTCGCAGAAGTCAGAACAACACTCTATCAAGTTCCCCTTCTCCCCCGCATGCAAAAGACGACCAGGCTCTTCCTGTCGACGAGTTTGCAGGTTTCCCCGATGGCCATGTTGGTCATCGACAATCTTATCTTCGGCTCCCAAAGCCAATCAACAAGCCGGCCGTTACTGAAGATCTCGCACGGCAACTAATGGGACGTCTAATGTCCTCAGCGACGGACATCCTTAAAGATGACAACGCGGTACGCTGTCACCTGTATTGTAGTCAGTCCCTTCACTGACAAGTAGTCTCCCAATACTAGCATACTAGAGTGAATGAGCCGTTTAACTTGGCCTGCCTCTCGTGTTTCGAAGAGGAGATCAAGTGCGTGCGTGGAGATTCTGGGACTGGGGGTATTCCACGCTGCGTCCGCTGCATCGCCAAGAAGCAGGACAATCCTCAGCTCAAATGCCGGAGGAACTGGCTTGTACAGGCTGCAAAGGAATTGATCAAGAAGTCCACCGATGACATCGACTCCGAGCATGACACCTTGCGCTCCTCAAGCGCCGCTGCTGCCATTTCCCCTCCCCTCGCAACCCTCACCGCATATAACGCCGAAGGGGATTCTTTGGGTTTGGGTGTTCCGAGGGCGACTGAGCCGCTTGGGGTGAGAGCCACACTCCTTGCTACCATCAGTGCACTCGTTGCTCAGGCAGATGTCATCGATGAGGCGATTGAAGATCTTGTGTCTGCTCGTAGGTAGTTATAGGCTAACTGTCTGCTTGAATAATTCACTCCTCACTCTCATTAAGCATTGGTCTGCGTGATTACTTCGTGATTTACCTGGTGCAGGCACAAAAGACGGATTGCCCTGAGCCATATGTAAGAGCACTTTAAGGTGCCGCTGGTGCCTCCGAATATCAACCCGTATCAAGGCTCGAGGCGACTCTCACTGCTTACAAAGGTCGAATGACACAAACCAGACGACATCCGACAGCAGTACATAACTTAGGGGAGTGCGACATGCAATTGCTAGATCAAATAGATGTAATCCTAAGCGCGTAGACCGACGGCTCGGATGAGGGAGGTGTAGAGAGTAGACAGAAAGCATCGGGGAAGACAGGGTGGAGAGTGTATACAGACAACGAAGAGTGCAGTAGCGAGCAAAACACAAGCCCCGGGTGGCAGCGCACGTTCCAAATCCGGGAGTAGTGGAATGTTGAGAATGGCGATGCAGGGGCGGGTCAGGGTTAGGTGAAAAACATCGTACAGAGTGAAGAGTATTGATGGAGCAAGATGTCGAGTGAGCAACGTGTGGGGTGAAATACATTGAATGCGCCGGTAAACACGAGTGCGAGTGCGGACGAATGGGTAGTAGAGGAGTAGTAGAGGATCGCAAGGGGGTCTGCGGGAGTAGGAGATAGGAGGAAGAGGAAGGCATAGCGAGTGCATGTGCGAGGATATCGGTATGTAATATATGGTTGTAGGGCTTGTTGATGTTGACGAGAGGACAAGCTGACATTTGACGGAGGTATAATGTCACTGGGGCATCCGATGACTTGTGTTCCGGTACAACAGCAGTGCGATACGAGACGAGTTGGACGCTCTCGACCGCTTTTACATGCCGTAGCCGTAAGATGCCCCGCACCGGTAATCGCCGAAGACTGACGGCCTGAGGGTACGCCGCGACACCCATCCCGTTGTAAGCAGCGCCAGCCAGATTATAGCTAGAGAGGGCCTGGAGAACATACACGTCAACGCCACGTGCGAGGTGCGCCTGCGGGTGCTGTTGGCCGTACGCGTGAGTGGCGTACGGGTCTGCCGCACGACCGCCGTGCGTCTGGAGAGCGGCTATGTCGACGAGGTTCTGCTGAGGCGCCGCGGGAATCCACCAAGCGAGCCGCAGTGATCCATCTGCGCGCGCCGGAGTCTGTTCTGGGTGCGTTTGCCGTATGGCGTGTTGCATTCGAGCGGAAGAACCGGGCGGATACCCTCGACGAGGAGCGCGCGCTGGCCAGGTTCGGCGTAGTCGAGCGCCGTCTAGACGCTGTAGTTGCCGTAGTTGCCGTACGACTCGCGCAGGGCGTGCGGCTGGGCAGCTCCTCAATGAGCATCTTGCGCGTCGAGTGCTCGGCGACACGGATGCACTTTTCGATGACGTTTGAAGAGAACTTCTGGACGGAAAGAGCGCTGGCACGCAGCAACCGGCGGTGGGTAGCGACCTCGACGCAGCTACTCGCGTCAGCATTGTAGATAAACTAAACCTTATCAGTTATCAGGCACAGATGACGCGGGCAACGAAGCAAAGCAAACAAGCTGACCTGGTTAGTAGCCTCCGGCGCGAGCTTGTTCAAGCACTTTCGAATGACATGGTTGCCATCCAAGTCCTTGATAAGTATCACAACCATGCAGGCTAAGCGCTACGATGATGGAGTGAATCTGCGCGTGCGCTCTATGATCAGCCTGCATCACCAACCGATCCAAAAATGTACACGTACACGCCAGTCAGCGGCAGGTTACGGGGTGCGGGATGAAGTAACAATACCACTGACCTGACGGCGCGTGCTCAAGACGTCGATCATTTTCTGAACAGCGCGAGTACCATGCATGTTGAGGGAGATCGTGACGAGGTCCTGTGCGACGCTCTCGCAGATGACGTTCAAGCCCCGGTCGTCGGCGCTGCACTCGAGCAGCTTCTGGCAAAGGTGGTTCCCAAAGGCATCTGTGGCAACGGATCAGTACGCTCCCGAGCAGACGAACTTGACGAAACGGGATAGGCGTACCGGTCACAAGGTCGGCAAAGTGGCCGAACGTCTCGCGGAACATGATGTCGCGGTGTTTCGGGACACGCTCCTCAAGCTTCTTCTGGAGGTAGCGGCAACCGTGCTGGTCCCTTGTACAGGTTGGGGATCTTGCCGGTAAGGTCCTCGAGGCGCATCCCAGCGAAGCGGTTGTTTAAACGCCGTGCCAAAGTCAGTACTGAGACCAGGCATGCGTCGAAAACGGGATACTCACACTCGCGGTCAATGTCGCCACGCTTGTGCTTAGGGCCATCATGAATCCCGTTGATCTGTTGATCTTCGCGTCGCCGTTCGCACGACCCAAACCGTAGCGCGGTAGCGCACATGCTGTTATGCTGATACAGCGCTGTACTCGGCGCATCAACGAACTGTGAAGCTAGTTCAAGTGCTTGTTAGGGCTTCAAGCAATGCAAGCGGTTTAAGAGAACCCACCGTTTGAGTCCTTGCTCGTCGAATTCCCAGCGCTCGCTCGATCCGTCCTTGGGCGTCCCGTGCGATGTTCTGCTACCCAGTAATGCCACGTTGAGCTCGGACGTCCAAGTAACGAGTGAGTTTCAGATCCAGAATACCGTCGAGAGGACGAGAACGACATTCGCGATGCGCGTGGCAGCGCTTTAGCGAGCCTCGAGGGCTGGTCTACAGCCAATGGACAGCGTCAATCACACGCCGCTTAACGCAATATTCGAGACCTGCGGAAGCCCTTGGATCTCTTAATCGCTTGCATTGCTTGAAGCCCTAACAAGCACTTGAACTGGATTCACGGTTTCTTGATGTGCTGAGGGCGTCGCAGGAACCGAACGCGCCATGAAGAGGTCCGCGAATGAGGCGGGCAGACCGGGCCTCGCAAGGTGCGCGATGGCGCTTAGCCTGAGCTGCAGGATGTTCGGGGTACCAGGTGCGGCAGGTGCGGAGAGGCTACCGAGCTTAGCGCGCGACAGGTTGCCGATTGACAAGGCGAGATTCGTGGCCTTGCGTTGGCCAATGGCGTCAGGACGCAGGCTGCCACTGGACTGCAACCACTCGCTAGGGGCCTTGTCGCGCGGCTGTTACTTGTTGTCTTCCGAAGTCGGGAGATGGCGCATGGCATCTGTAGAAACGGTGAGAATGTTTCAATCAGTATATTCAATACGTAAATGTTCTTACTGTGAATTTGTCGTCCAGCTGCTCCTCGGGCGTCATTTCGGTATTGTAGATGGCGCCGAAACTGGCAGCATCGCTGTCGAGACGACCATTGTGCTGGAAGCACGAAGACTGGCTCGCGGGCAGAGGCGCTCCTGGCCGATGAGCGACAAGTTGTGCAGATGGTTTGCCAACTCCACGTCGTCTTCAGAGGCACTCTGGCGACGCGACGCAGGTATGCTCTTCGCCATAGTGCAGCCGTAGTTGCCCTGCAGACCTGCAGACGCCGATGTCGGGATGTCAGGAGCGCGCGATCGGCGCATAAGTGACAGACTTGCGCTTGTCTAAGCCGTTCGTGCCGACTACATGTGCCATATGGTCGACGTCAAGACTGTCCTGGACGAGCGAGGTGGGCAGGCTAGGAGGATTATCTTCGCCAGTGAGCAGGGCGCTGACGCGCGGGGACATAGTAAGCGCTGAGATGGCGAAGCCCTGCATGTCATTCGCGAGCGCGCGCATCTGGTCTTCGAAAAGTTTGCGGTGAAGCGCGCGCCGGCGCTCGTGCCCCATCCGCTTGAGCTCGACGGGCTGTAAGTATTATCAGTTAGAGAGCGTGGCAAGCGCGTGGTAGCAGATCGCGTACAGCAGCAGCGACGTCGGGCATATTAGCACCCAACCGTGGTCGGATGTGGTCAGTATCCTGTCAACGCGCGCACGACATGCAATAACATCATGCGCAGAGTCTGCCAGATCCAGGAAAGCTGGCGGCGACTGCTTTCTATCGTCGGTGGGCGAGCGATTATCGATTATCCGTAAGCGAGGCCGACAGTTGAGGTACGGCGGCCATCTCGGTGAGTACTTTATAGGTGAATTATGGCTTTGATGTTTTTCCGAAGCTTCCGGGTTTGGCAATCTTCAGCGTACCCGATGGGGAGGGGCCGCCGAATTTGGCGCTCGAGATGTCGCCGGGTGACAAGGCGCGGGTCGGAGCCTTTAGCGTCCGGTCGAGGCGACCGCTAGGCACGCGGTTGCGCGAAGCGGCGCCACCACAAGGTCAGGGCGCCGTGCGCGCGAGGAGAGTCGGAGGGCGCTCAAAAGTCGGGCGAGGTGCATAGGACCGGGGCGCGGCGTTCGGACCGGAGGCGGAGTCAAACAAGTCGGTGCGGGGAGAAAGTGCATATATTGCAAAGTAGACACAAGTAACTTAGCGTGTATACTAAGCGGGGGAGGGAAGAGGGATACGAAGTGAGGATAGTGGAATTGGAAGAGAAAGATGGGTGAATGAACTAAATGAAAGATGTGGAAGTCAAGTCGCGAGACCCGCGCCGCGCCTCTTGCCGAGGGTTTTCCCACGATCTACACTACGCCTACCATCTAATCGCGGCGATCATAAGCCCCGCGATCGTCGTCGATGGCGGCGTGATCGGCATGCGTCGGCGCAACACGCCGCGCTCTCGACTACACCATCCGCTTTGTGCACCAGCAGGCTCTGCTGTACGAACGCCCCTGACCTCTTGACCTCTCGGGGTGGCAGACCCTCACCTCCGGCTGGAAGAGGACACGCATGCGACGTGCAGCATGCACTAAAACACGGGCCGCCATCGTGAATGACACGACATCCTCCACAGGTACCCGGAGCGCACTACTCGCCCAAGATCCAACACCAACGGGATGCAAATACGTGCCCTACACAGTAGGCGCAGGAGGTTTTAGGGGTGTACGGGAAGCGCGGAGCCCTCCCTGCGTACATCGCGGGGGTCGTGCACTCGTGGCTCAGCGCTCAACGCTCGGCGCTCAACGCTCGGCGCTCAACGCTCGGCGCTCAACGCTCAGCGCTCATCGCTCAGGCCGCGCGGTAATGCATTTATTCATCATATTCTCACACGGACATTACACATTTCGGACGTTTCCCCCCTCATTGGCTCTCTACTGTGGTGCACCGTGCACCCCTTCCCATTGTGCTGGGTAGCACAACCTTGCTCAGTGCCCGGGCCACCACTGTACACACTACATCCTACCTGCTGGCCTTGGACACAGTCCTCCTTCGCCCGTTACCTACGAGTTTCGGACATTCAGCGGCGAGTCACGGCTGTTGCTTTCCTTGTCGGTTATTACCTATGCGCCCCTTGGCCTTTGGCCGGTGCTATATAAGTGTCGTTGACCCCCAAAAAAGAGACACGCGGCGCCAAACCGCGAATTTTGAACGTCCGGACCGCTATCCTGGTACTGGAGTCCGTCCCCCACGGGTCATTCCAGTAGTGTTGTGTGTGGCCTCAAAGGGAAAGACCATCGGCGCGGCTAGTGCGGGTTTGCATCTCTCCTCCTGCCACCATCTCCGTCTCTGAGTTGCTGATGTTCACTACACCATTCCCCTCAAGCTCGTCAAGAGCTCCCTATCGCGCCTGCGCGTCCTTCAAGCTTCCAACCTACGCAATGAGCAAACCATACAAAACGCACGTGAGGTTTTGGAGACTGCTGTCGTAGTGTGTGGTGGAGCGGCTGTATTGGCGGCTGCATACGAATAGCCGAACGCGTCACCTTACATGATCTCAAGTGAGTCCTTTGTCTTCCGAGGTACTATGAAACGGCACACCCGGGATCGGTCGCGTGACCTGTTAATCCCACCCTTTCTTTGTATTCGAGTGCTCTGACCAAACAATGGTTCTATGCAGGGCGGCGTTTGAGGACCTTCTCAGCGACGTACTATTCTGGGACAAGACCGTTCACTCCTGGTCCCAAGAGAGCTCCTACATTCCCGCGGTGCCGTCTGAGGTGAACGATATCACCGAAACGCTCAAGGCTGCGACACTCCCATCGGGTACGCGCTACGCTGAATTCCTTGGCCTGCATTGTTTATGAGTCGCTCAATGAGTCGCTCAAGGATATCACTCTCATGGAAGCAGTACTGGCCGCTTTTCCACCCGTATAGCCTATGCGGGCTGTGGAAGATCGTGGTGAGCCAGCGAACCGCAGGCCACCCGCGTGAAGCCAAGAGTCTGCGGACTCTACGACATCTTTTTCAAGAAAGAAAATCATTTACGTACGTTTTTCCCCTGTGCAGTTGAGTACGGCAGAGCCAAACGCCTCTCAGAGAGCTATCCCACGGTCACTTCTCGTGAGCTATGCGCGCTCCTGTCTTCCAAAAAGCTCTTTTCGATGTTACTTTACTCGCAGTGACGAGCGACGATGAGCATGCAGGTGAGGTAGTCGGTATCGGCATGTCAACCTGACTGACCGCGCATACAGGCCCAAACACTCCCATACCTATCTACGAGGCAAAGGCGACTCGCGACACGCGCCGCATCGTAAGACATACCAGGTGGACGTGGTGCCCGAAGTCGAGCGCCAGGGTATGCATCAGCTATGGTCGGCTCTCCATGCCCGCTCGCACGACAGTCACTCGCATCTTCGGCGTCAAGACGCACACACAGATCGATAGTCGTCAGTGGGACTCCATCGGACCAGTACTGACCACACTTCCCGCAGCCTTTGATCAAAGGCATCGGCATGTTTTCTTCCACGATCGAATCATGGCACCTGTATCACAGCTCTGGCAACAGATTCGGGATTGGTGTTCTCCGAAATCATGGGCGTCACGGTCATCAAGGGCTCCGAAAAGACGCTCGAGGAAGGTCTCCAGACGACATGGCTCTCGCTCTCTAAGTACATGAATCTCAGCGCGCGGTCCCGGACGCAGGAAGGAGATCTGTCGTCTTTTCGAAGCATCATGCGTGCACGGAGGGACCGCGACTACGATGCGGCGGACAGGACTCAGTCAACCCTTTGCGAAATGCGAGAGAACGGCGTCTCCGGGAAGGAACTCGGCTTCCTGTAAGTCTGTGCTTTATGGCACCATTCTACTCATACTGATCAAACTAGCTACGTCAACGGGGCATAAGACAACCTGTTAATCGACACTATGCGTATGTAGTATCGTTCTCACTCGAGCGCGCTGTTCTCATGTTCGGCGCAGTCCTTCGCATGATCTGCGTAAATCCCGCAGGTTTGTCCTGGGCGGGATACACCGCGAAAATAAACGTCATCGGAAGCTCATCCGTTTCAAAGATTTCTCAAGGCCTTCCTTTACAGCATGGGAGAATCGGCCCCGGCGGCAGCGCAAAACTCGAACCTGCAACAGGAAGCCGCGCTGTGATCTCGCTTATGACCAGGTTCTGGCCGAATGCGCTCGATGCGCTGGAAACGGAGCAAGGTGTCGCGATGGTATCGAGTCTGGGTTCTCCTCGGGGTGGGATGCGCCGGGCAGTGTTCGCTACGAGAGCTTCCGTTTCGGAGAAGCAGGGGCGTAGATTTAGTTCAGTGCTCAGCAATGTGTGCATCCGGTTGTCTGTAAACCGGGTTCCTGATTTCTGATGTTGCGTTGTAGGTATCTTTGTGTAAAATGGTGCTGCGAGGGAGCGCTGTGCGAAAGTATGGGGGAGATATAGGCCTCATCTTGTGAGTGCAGTTGATCTCCTTATCCAGAATAGCGACTTACCTTTCTCCTAGGACGTTCAACAAGTCGAAGATGCTGGAGTTTAACGATGTCATGTTCCTTAACAACTTCGAGGATTCGACGTCGTTGTTCCTCTATAAACAGCATGGTCACCTGATGGCCATCTAGTGAGGATTGCCGCTGAGGCCAGTCCACAATCGTCTCTGCAGGTGTTGACTGATCGCAGTCGCGTACAACATGAGGAGCATGCCCCTGAAAACATCGGTCATTCGCGCTGGAACTGGTTCGAAGAGTTTGCCCGGTTTCACAGTTTCACAACGTCACCTTTTTACTCTTAGTGCGTGTTCCAGCTCCCGACTCTGCAGCTTGCGTTTGTGAAATGTCGTGCTTACAAGCATGACCAACTCTAGTCTGGACGGGATGGTCCTACTCTTCCGGATAGACTCGCGACGAATAGGAACATCGAGGAACTGTATGATGCTTTGGGCTCGAAGGCAAAGCGACCTGCCAAACTACGTGCGTGCCGGGGCGACTCCATTCGTTCCTGCCGGTCCGCCGCGCTGTTGAACGCCGCGGAGCCCAGCACTGCACCCTTTTAACCTGTCGTCGGAGCGGAAGAGCCGAGGAGCCCGATACCTGCAGGACGACGCGACTGCCATTGATGAATCGCTGCAGGCGAACACCTGCCATCTCTCCCGAAGAAGCCAGGTGCGAGCGTGCCGCTCTATTCTCCGCGAAGACCTACTGCCATGTCATACTTCGGCGTACTAATCACGTCCTTCCTGAAGTTCCGAAGGCTCGATTGCAGCAAATCACTGCTTGTTTCAGGGAGGAGCGGAAGATCGAGTGGCACCCGACGTCGCTCTTTCGTGGACCGCAGCCGCATGCGCTCACTCGCCTCGATCAGCTTCCCTCAGAAGCCCAAGTGGACGGGAATCTCATCAAGATCAAAGCTCGTATCGCACAACACGAAGACCTGGAGAAGTGTATGTCCCAACAGACGCGGATCAGGTATGCCGGCTTCCATATCTTCCTTGGTTGGGTACTCACCCGCTTGTGGCACGAACGTGTAGCTCCTGGCGTTGTGCAAACTGCTTGAACCGTTCTCGTCTCTACATCGCGGGAAGGA